GCTTATCAAGCATAATTGATACGCGAGCTCCTTCCAAAAGTGCTCAATATATTTCAACACAACTGTTTCATCATTGGCGAATGTGTGGTTTGTGAGTTGGGAGACATGAGATAAAGAATCGGAAAATTGGGATAACATATTGGATACCCGGTCAAAGTCACGAAGAGGCCGACCATTTCAGCCTTGAAAAGGAAACAAAATCTCTCCATTTTGGTAGCTTCATAATGATTCCTCGACCATTTCTTCGACTTCCACCCTCTTACTGTCCTCTGTCTCCCATTTGAAGACCTCAATGCCATCCTCAACATTCACCTCCACTTTCTCCTTCTTCACTCTTCTCTCCGTGGCTTTCCAGCCCCGAATCTCTGCCTTGCACAATCCCGTACCAGCCAGGTCACACTCCCCACACCTCCTCCCGACAGGCAGACACACCGTCTGCCCTAAACCCACAAGCATCCTGTTGATCTCATGCCATTTATCGCGAGGCAACCACCCCTCCAGCCAGGCCCTCGTCTCCTCCGGTGTTTTTGTTTTATGCCAACCCCAAAGATTTGTGATGCGATGGACGTGAACATCTACGCCGATTCCTTCATCTACGCCCCATGCGGCAGACATGCAGAGGTACGCCATCTTCGGACCCACTCCTGGTAAGCGGACGAGGCCCTCTATAGTATTGGGGATGTCGGAGTTGTATTCCTGCTTCAGGATTGTGGCGACTTGCTTGATGTACTTTGTTTTGTTGTTATGGAAGCCAACTTTACCGATTAGACTGTCGAGATGCTTAGGGTCACAGGCAACCATGTTGTCGACTGTCAGGGTCGACTGTTGTATTTCATTGTCTGGAGTGGGCGATTGAGGAACCAATTCTGTGTGTAGGCGTTGCATAGCGGCTGCTGTCACCGTATCTTTTGTTTGAGAAGATAGCATGAGGCTTGTTAAGACGTGATAGCGTTTCTCTCGTGGTGGAGCGGCAGGCCAAAATAATTCTTCACAGCCCATCGTGTCGACCGGAGCAGTTGGGTTCCTTAGTCGCATTGCCTTGATTGTATCATATATCTCGGCCCAGTTTGAGGGAGGATGTATTCGTACTGTCCCTGACGGCGACGTTGTCCTCCGTGCGGGCATCTTGGGCTTTGCTTTTGCACGCGCACTAGACAACGAGTCTAGGTTTCCCTCGTCGCCCTCCTCCTTGATCCTGCGTGGCGAGGTCCATTCAGTTGTGGTCGTAACCACCGTCGAAATAAATGGCGAATCAGAGCCAAACTTTCTCTTTCTTGTCGATTGAGACGACGTACCGAGGGCGTCCTCAATATCTGGAGTCGAACCGACGTCTCCACCCGCCCCGTCCCCCGCTCTCTCATCTTCTTCTTTTGTCTCAACGGTTGGATCGTATCCCAGCGCAAACGAAGCTAGTCGTTTCGAACTCCTCGTTGTTCGTCCGGAGTGACTGTTCGGGAATAGAGGATTAAATATCCGGGTGGTTTCCTGAGAAATCTTGGATGTCCGCATCTTGCACAGCCTGTTTACTGTTTGCAAATGAGATGGTGAGGTCGAAAATTGGTCAAAGTTGAAAGCTAGATCTCGTCGACCCCTGGACGATCGCCGGTCTAGGGCGAGGAACGCGTTTGAGTAGTGGCTCGATGACTGCAAAATAGGCATTAACTGGCACCCACTGGTGGCGTTTCAATGGCTTTCCAGGCACAACCTCGGCCGCGCCAGAGAGCTGACCTGACCTGCAGGACTCTGCAGAGCTATCATGACAACAACAACACCACCACCAACATCACTTCTTTTGACCATGCTTCTCATCCTTCGATTCTATCCGCTATAGGACATCTCTATTCCAATCCCAGAAATCTGTCTGAGCAGTCTGTTTTGAGCGGTCGCCATGTCATCCACCCCTCGCAGCAGCAAATCCTCCTCGACTAACGCCCTCAAACGCCTCACGCATGAACTCCAAGACCTCCAGTCCTCCCCCAATGAAGCAGTCCTCCATCTCGGCCCCGTCAACGAAGAAGACCTCTTCCAGTGGGAAGCCGTCCTAAAAGGCCCTCGGGACCCGGCCTCCCCCTATCATGGCGGCTTGTGGCTCCTCTCCATTACCGTCCCAACAACCTACCCTTTCGCGCCTCCCAAGGTCCAATTCATCACACCCATATGTCATCCGAACGTACATTTCTCTACCGGAGAGATATGTCTGACGCTGCTGAGTGGTGAACATTGGGCACCATCGTATACACTGAGCACAACGATGGGTGCGATCCAACAACTCCTCATTTCTCCAGGATTGGACAGCCCTTTGAATGTGGATATTGCGAATTTGTACAGAGAAAATGATACCATCGGCGCAGAGAGCTTGGTGCGGTTTTGGACAGGTGCAAAGAGGTGGGCTGGCGAAGGGAAAGGAGGGTGGCTGAGTGAGAAGAGGAGAGGAACAGGAGGGAAGTTGGGGGAGTGAAAAGAGCGACATGGGTTGGGCTAACGATGTTGTTGATATTTTACAAAGCATGGAGTCTGTCAAGGGCGTTCTCGAGAGATGATTTAGTATTGGTGTCTTTGGCGGTTTGGCATCGAAGATATCTATTCGCCCTTCCGAGCACAGGAGTGGAGTGCAGTGAAGCGAAGCACGGTACGAAGTATGTCTATGTCATGAAAGAATCCACGAGAGGTTTTGTGGACAGATTTCGATGCTCGTTGATTCAAGCTAGCACCTTTACAGGAAGACCGGGCACGAAACAGGTGGTCGGAAGCTGTTGTGACGCGCAATGGAAGTCGATGTTGAGATGAAAAAGATCCACTACTTTGAATGCCAGCACCTCCTAATATAGGGGATGTTGACAGGACTAGCCTCCCTCGGAGGACTTCAGGCACTCTGCAAGGTCGGTACTCCAAGGATGTAACTTGAAAACGTCCCCAGGAAGAAGCAATGGATTGGCCATTGAGAGGAAACCGCATGCGCTAGAAAACAAAAAGATGGCGTAGAAAAGCAGGTATCAAGGAGAGCTAACGTTTCTCTTAGCCAGCATGAGCAGAGGATTCCATAGTCAACTTTCGTCGGAGATAAATGTTTCGTTTTTGGGCAAAGCAGCTTTGACAAGGCTGACGAAATACACTCAAAAGAGTAGCGCACCGCCGTAGGATGTACTGTGGATCATATGATGCTCCCCATTTCAAACTGGACGCGCCATTGACCTGCAGCCTCGTCTCTGGTTTGGCTTGCGTGAACAATCGTCTTCGTTTACCTGTGAATCCTGCACCCTCTGTCCTGCTCGTCCCGCAACTCTTTACTATTCCTTGAAGTACTTCAATATATTCTCCAGGAGACTTGACAATCTTTCACGAGCTCCCTCTGCGGCCGCGCCAGAATGGCAGACAGATACTCATTTTCCCTCACAACATTCTCGCCCAGGTACGTCGACCTTATTACTTGCGTAATGAATCTTTTATACTAATATGATGCAGCGGCAAACTCGTCCAGATAGGTATTTCAACGCTGCCAGTAGTGAACTTGACCGGTGCTTACTCTCCTTCCAGAATATGCCCTCAACGCAGTAAATCAAGGTGTCACGTCGTTAGGCATAAAAGGTAAGGAAGATTCTACTCACGCTCCCGCATATGGTGCTCATGATGAATCACAGCAACAAACGGCATCGTCCTCGCTACTGAGAAGAAGTCATCATCTCCCTTAATCGATCCTCCTTCCCTGTCGAAAGTATCCCTCATCACACCCAATATCGGCATGGTCTATAGCGGTATGGGCCCCGACTATCGAGTCCTGGTCGACAAAGCCCGCAAAGTCTCACACACGAACTACAAGCGCATCTATAATGAATACCCGCCGACGCGGATATTGGTCCAGGACGTGGCCAGGGTTATGCAAGAGGCTACGCAATCTGGCGGTGTTCGGCCCTACGGCGTGAGTTTGCTGATAGCTGGATGGGATGACGGGATTGAACCCGAGACTACTACTGCGAAAGAGGGTGAAACCGAGGCAGAGGCAAAATTGGCAAGCAGGAAAACGGGCGGCATCTTGAAAGGAGGGCCCAGCCTGTACCAGGTTGATCCTAGCGGCAGTTATTTCCCTTGGAAGGCCACAGCAATTGGAAAGAGTGCGACAAGTGCGAAGACATTCTTGGAGAAGCGATATAATGACTCTCTAGAACTGGAGGTGAGAATATACCCGGACTCACTCCGGAGCACAAAGCTGACAGCCCGTCTCAGGATGCCATTCACATTGCGCTACTAACTCTCAAAGAGACCATCGAGGGGGAAATGAATGGCGACACAGTCGAGATCGGCATTGTGGGTGAGCCGGCAAACCATCTCCTCGGGTATGAGGGTGTGGAGGGAGCGGTGGGCCCACGGTTCCGCAAGCTCAGCAAAGAGGAGATAGAGGACTATCTGACGAATCTGTAAGAATAACGCTGGATCAATGAAAAGCGCAGGTGCTCAAGCGGAAGTTTCAAAACGTGGGTAATGGAAAATATGTCTTCCCCCATGCTCTGCGCCTTTACTGCCGCCTTCAAGGAAAGGATACGGCTACGAGGGTGCAATTACTAGCTAGTAGTTACCTACGATGTCGCTTTGCACGGGGGCTGTGCTAAGCAGCTTTCTCGACTCTCCGCGCCGCATCACCCTTTTGCCGCTGTTTAATCCTAGCTGTGTGATTCGTCTGATGTTAACTCACATCCAGCGTGTCATGTTCGTTATGGAGATCGCGGGCCTCGCCCTAAGAGTAACAGCGTTAGTCTCAACATTCAAGGACTGCATTGAGCAGTTTGATATATTTCAGCCGCCGGTGAGCTTAGACGAGACGCTGTGCTTCTGGAGGCTCAGCTCGACATTGAGAAGACCCTTCTGCAGTGGTGTTCGAAGGATGCACCTTCTGTGGGACGATTATGATAACCGACTCAATGATTCGGGTCTACAAGCAACGGTTTTCCGCACTCTTACCGGAATAGCATCCCTTCTCGGCGAAGCAAACTCCTTCAGCTAGCGCTATGGCCGTCAACAAGTATCAGCGGAGGATGCTCCGGAGCGTCGAAATCGACCTCTCAGTAAGCGTCGGATGGACGAAGTCTTCGAGGAATACGAATCATTGCAGAGCCGTTCAAGACTTGTGTAAGCCAGAGTGATCACAGCAAAGAAGGCGTACTGAGTGATCAGGGACAAAGATCGGTTCGAAAACTCATTCAAAAGGTAGCTGTGCTCCCCGGAAAGCCCAACGATTTGGTTCCAAGCTCTAAGGGGTTGTTGGAGCGAATGAAGGAAGAAGATCTCAAACGCTCGATCGTCTTTCATGTGGGAACAAACTGCGCAGCTGCGGAGAGAATCGGTGGCCAGATGTTCCCCAGATTCGCCGGGTCGTTCCTCGATGATAGGTGCCAGGAGAGGATCCTGGAACTCCTCGGGTTTCGAACCATGGATGAGAGAAGGGAGCTCATCTCTGCGCCTGAACGTGGGACCTACAACTGGGCTCTCGAGACACCCTCACCAGACGATGGACGACCTTTGTCAAGGGCTTCGTACAGACCCAGGGGCGTACTGGATTTCTGGAAAACCAGGTTCAGGAAAGAGCACGTTGATGAAAAATGCGGCACACCAATTAACGAACGCATGACTTACTGCTGCAAAGATGGGCTGGAGAACTGAAGCTGCATGCTCCCAACTTCTTCTTCTGGCATCTCAGACTGACGAGCAGAAGTCGCAGTACGGTCTCTGCAAAATCCTACTCATCCAGATTCTAGAAGTCAACCGATCTATAATCAAATAGATATTGCCAGAAATGTGGTGCCATATGTACGGCTCAGAACAGGCATCATTCCGCACATCGTCAGCAGCTGAAATGCCAAAGGTATTCGATCTGCTCTGCAAGCATGCTGACGCGTTTCAACTTTCCAAATACTACTTCTTCATTGACGGACTGGACAGTATTCTGGACGGTATCAAGAAGCGGTCCAGTTCATAGAATGGCCGTCCAACCTTCCAAATGTCGAGATTCTCGTGTCCAGCAAACCCGAACCTGGCTTCGTTGATGCCTTCTGTTGTGGCCCGATGCTGAAGCTTGAAGATCTCACGCGAGCCGATATTAAGAGCTATGTGGAACATGAAATCGATTCTCTCTCCACCCCCCCCCCCCAAAGATACGACCTTGATATCCTTAACGTTCCTCCTATTTCGAAAGTTAAGCTGTGGGGTTCTAAGGAGTTAAATAGAGTCCGCGGAGGACGACTGAGGAGCCGGTGCTGGGGCCTTGTGCAGCTGCGACTTCCCTATATCAAATATGACGATAACGAGACTCCACCTATTACTTCTGCGCATTTTATGCACAAGACTGTTCTCGAATTCCTGAACATTCCCGAGACTTGGACTTCAGGACCATTGACTGTTCCAGATGATGGATTTGACACATGCGCCGTACTGGCTTTCATCTCTACATATCTTATCTATATATACGCGAAGCAGCAAAGAATGAGTGCTTGGCAGGAGCAAATACGGCGATTCGTTAGCAATTGCTCACATTCCGGTGACACTGCGACGCTGTTCATGGAAGCCATCTTGACCGTCTCCTTGAGGAGGCAAGAAACACCAAAGGTCCGCATCCGATAAGAGCGCTCCGAGCATATTTGCAACGTTGCAGTATGTCTGATCCAATGGGAGTCGGCCGCATTGTACTGACCTTGGCCGTTGAACTCGACTTATTTGAACTTGTCAAAAGGCAGCTCAGCATGAGCAGGGCCCGGGAAGCCAGGCATTAAGCGACATCTCTTTACCGTACCATGCAATCCAGCGTCCTTCTGGCAATATCTGGGGAAGGACGCCCGACTACATTTTTCGACTATCGGAGTGCCAGCTGCAAGCGCAACGAGATGATTCGAGACGCAGAAACGCCACAATTCGATGGTGCGATTCCGTGGAGCTGTTTCCTTAACGTCGTCTCGACCCAAGCCCCTGCTGCAGATATCGTCAGTGTTAAGAAGACGTCCGAAGCGTTCTTCCGAGCCAGAGCTGATTCGAATATTGTCGAAGCTGAGGAGAGGATCGAGAACTGTTTCCGGAACTTTAACTTCAGTGCCATTTCAAAGCATAAGAGAGCAACCTTGTTGCAGACGTCAAGTACTCGTACATCCTCCGCCTTTTGGGCTCATACCAGCGGAACGACCCTGCAGTCAACGATGCTTACCTTGACGTCCAAACCCCCATTGCTCCTAGTCAGGTTTACCGATTCCCAACCGCCAGGGGGGTAATTTGATCTAGATTTGAGGTTTGACGTTGGTCCAAGCAGATCCATATGCCACGCAAGAGTAAATTCAAGACACAATCACGGGGCGAGCTTTGAGAGGAGTATTCCTAGCCTGGCGAGGGTTGCACACATTTGTGGGGAATGGGACGACTCGGACTAAGTAACCAGCTGCCAAAGTTCACAGCATTAAGTGTTCATGATTTCTCATTCTAGGATAGCGCGGAATGACGTTGTCAACTGAGCCTTCCAGCAAAAGGCCTCGCCGACCTTTCCATGAATTTGGTGCTTCTGTAACATGCTGACCACGAGAGGTGGAGGGAGAGTAAGGCTATAGAGGCTAAGAGTAATAGTGGAAAATTATTAGGACTAAGGGAGAGGAAGGGAGGAGAGGGAGGAGAAGACAAGTAAGGAAACATTATAGAACAAGGGGATTTAGTTAACCCAGCACCTATTGATAATAAAGATCTATGAAAGTATATTTTAAAAAGGGAACAAGAGCTTCTCGAGTTTTTTTATATGGAGATATCAGGACTTGATCCCAACAACATTGTAGGACATCTTCTTAGGGATCCCGATCCCGAGCCAACGAGACGTGCGTCGGTCTATAATCAAGACAGAAACAGCGCCTTAGAACACATTTTCCAAGAGACGGGCATGGCTTGTTACTTTACTTCGCGAGGCTGAGGCCGAGGCTTAGGCTGGGGGGACGATAAACATTACAGCAGGGCAGGGGCAGGGGAGGCAAAACGGGCGTTTGTGGTACATGACGATTCATCATTGACTCGCACGGCTCCCCTACCCGCGGGTAATGAAGCATGATGATGATTTTTCAAGGCGGGGGATCTGCGCGGTCAAAAGTTTCGTTCAACTCTACCTAGGGGCAACCAGGGATCAGGAAGACAAGACACATCTTCTATTTTTCTCACATGTAATGGATCTAGGCTCGGGTCGGGAGATCATGATCGTGGCGCGCAAATCACAGGGAGGCTACGGCATGGGGGGTGAGGAGTCTCGGAAGGCTTTTGTTCTTGTTCCCTCTAGAATATTGGACCACATTCGACGAGTTTTGACGCCACAAGGAGACAGTCCTGCCGCACGCCGTCCGCTGGTCTTTGGAAAATCCAAGCGAGGTGGTAGCAGACGCCGTTCCCAGGCCAGAAAACCAACAGATGAAGACGTCGGTCGGTCTGAGCGTGAAAAGCTTGTAACCCCAGCAGGACACATCATGCATCATCCCTCCATCCGAAAACCGTGAGCATAATCGAGGTGATGGTGACTACTTTTGAAATAGAGTTGTACGACGCTCTTCGGTCCTTTTGTAGTTTGCTCAAAGGTCACAACGAGTTGGATCACCAAAGTGACAAAAGAAGTTCCCGCGCCAGACGTTATGCAGTTCTAGAGGACGCCCAGGTATAGGAGGGGAAATGCCCCGATCGTTTTAAAAAACACAATAGCCATCTGATCATGCCTTCGTCATAGTCGGATCCCAGAACAGTAGATAAAATTCACTTTCGTATAGCAAAAAGGAGATACTTCTCCCACCAATCCCTTAAAAGGAGCACGGAGGCGCGCCCGTCATCGCGTCTCTCCGTCCCGTCCGGGTTTCCCATGATGATGGCAAAGACCCAAAATACTGCCATGATCCAGGCTGCAATGGCGTTTCCAATACTGATTAGAGGAGACGTAACGTGGACCAGGACCAGACAAACCGGACTGAACTCGAAGGTGTGAGCATTGTCTAGCGACTTCGCAAAGATCATTTGCAGATGATTTCGAAAGACCGGCGCAATCATGCGGACCAGAGATATGCTGGGTGAGCATTCTTTGCGACAAAGCCGAAGAGGGGCAAAGACTGTGATGATGAGGACGGCGAATATTGAGAATAGAGCGCTGAATAGGCAGTGAAAAGGGTCGAGAAAGGACATCCACATCTGGGGTGTGTCAATATTGACGAAGGTACAAAAAGTCAAGAGGGTTTCTTACCAGAATCCACAGGGCATGGTCGCCCTCTGTCTCCTCATCTGCTGTGATCGACTTTTCTTGGATGTACCGGAATACGGCCGAGTTGTCTTCTATCACGGGTGTCCCCGCTTGAATGCTTCTTCTTGCTCCACGCCCCGAATGTTGTGAGCCCGAAGGGGAATGTCTGGTGATCGTCTCTTCCACCAAGCCCCTCTCTGCCATAGGGCCATATTGATATTGTTGGTACGCTAGGTATGGCTTGGATTCCGCCCCAATCGTCGAACCAGACTCGGCGCTGGATATTGAGGTTTGGAGTCGGAGAGGGTCCTTCTGACGAGGGGTCGTGGGAGTTCGAAGAGTAGGAGACACATATGCGGTCGGAGGCTGTTGTAATGGAGGGGGACCGGCTGGGTGGTAACGGCGTTCGGCCTGAGGGGAGTATGAACTGTTTCTGACTTGATTGTAGGCCGACGCACGTCTCGTGGACTCGGGATCGGGCTCGAAAGACATTCTGATCATCAGAAAGGCCGCTGGTGGGACAGAGCCTTTTCATCACCGAACTGGCGGGAGAAGCTGCTGAGGCAATGCGCGGTAGCGGAGGGCAGGGGCAGCAGATTGACAGAGTCTAGCAGAGGGGACATGGGGAGCAGAGATATAATGAAATACCAACATGATTCTAGAGAGCGGGAATCACCCAAGAACTCAAGAGACACGATCTTTCTTGGTCCTGATCATCCTGCTCGCTCAATCCGGCTCAAATCCTCCACTTCCGCTGCTCGAGCCCCGGCCAAGATCTGGGCACTTGGCTCTTTCTCTAGGCGACATCTTGGCCTTCTGCAGCATGGATCCAAGGAGTCAAGGACGGTTGATTGCGTCTGCATGAGGGCGGAATGCCATCTCAGGGAGGCCCGTGGACGCCGCTGGACGCTTTGTCCGTTGCATGTTGCCGGTTTGCTACACCGTATATTTGATATTTGGTTGATCAGGGCGAGGAAAACAAACAGCACAACCTGCCTCCCTGAGTTCTTGGCATCCGGCTCCTTTGCGTGACTTGCCCGGTGACATGGTGACCAAGTGACAGGGCGTGATTGTGGATTGCCGCCTTCGCCTGTGGAACCCGACCACTCACCAAGCTACCAAGCCCACGCCCGGAGCAAATCACCGCCTTCCCAGTTCAACAAGACCGCTGTGAGGAGCCTTGTCGCAAGACCATCTTGGATTTTTCATGGCGACGCCGTACTTACTCGGACGGAGAAAATGGAGGGAGACGAGAGAAGAAAGCCGACTTCTGCTGCCAGATCACGTGTACGCTTCGCCCATCTCGCGATTTTCTGGTCCGGAGTCAACAATCAGAAAAGGCGTTCAGATATTTACAGTCCCCTTGTGTGACATCGCACGAAAGTCAAGAGTATCATGCCCCTTCTCCTACTGTATACACTCTATATCACGGATAAACCGCCGTCTGCCGGCCTATCTTTCCCGTCATGTTGCGAACAATATTCGTGGTCAATCGTGGCTCAGTGACTTGTTCTTTGACCCTAGCACACAGCATTTCGGCCAGTCTCATGATCCTGTTCAAACGCCCAAGTGCTGGCATACGCGGCATCGCCTTGTCATCGCCTTGTCCCGGGCGTGCGGTCTCTCGTCGGTCACTGCTTGGCTTGGTGTCCAGCTTGAGACTCTCGCGGCGCTGCTGGGCGTCCCTCTTGGCTGTTCAACGCCAGGATAATGAAAACCCGCGATTGCCATTCTCAAAGCTCCTGCAGCGTGACTAATACGGTGTGAGTGATAAATCGCTTCTCCGAGACAACCTTGTCGGTCAGCAGGTGGACAAATCATAGACCTCTAACATATGGGTCGCTTCTTGGATAAAAGCTTGTTCACGGCTGTTGGACGTAACATCATAATAGATGACCACGGAACCACAGATACCCTCAAAACGTACTAGTAGCTCTGCCATCCATCTGCAGTAGGGTCCAGCTGGCAATTTTTTATGCCGAGCATGATTTTCGGAAGGGTCGGGCGCAAATCTCGGTATGGGAATGCACCATGCCTGAGAAATACTCCTTCCCTTGACAGTCCGTGGAGGACCGTGGATCAGTGACCAGGGTTGTCTTCATTCAAGTACTCCGTAACCCCTTTCTTGTCGTTTCGTATGGTGTTCTAAACTTGGCTGTGACGGCCGTTGCTACCCGTTAGTCCGCGGTCCGATGTAGAGTGTGCTGTTCTCAATCATGCTCTGCGAGATGGACATGAGGCCCTGGTCTATGATGGCTCTGCAGTGATATATGGTATGATCAGCCAGTGTAGATTTAACAGCGGCAATTGTACGTGTCCAGCAACCATTACCTCGTGTAAAGTGCCACTTCCGTGGTAACCAATACGAGGTTTAGGACCACAGCATTATCCAGTTCCAACCGGAAGGAACCCGGCAAGGAATAAATAGGTATACTTGACCTCTTCTCGTATAATAACTCACCAGATGAAGGCCTGTGTCTGAATAAGAATAGCCTATCTTTATAACGTTCAAGGCATTGTTGCGGAGCGAAGAATTGCCTTCATTCTGACATCTATCGCCAGAGAGTTGTTAGAAGTCCTCGCAAGGCCAAGCCAAATGACTCCGGAGGGCATCAATTTCGGTCATTGCAGCACCCGCTAATATCGAAGCGCCGCCTGCTGGAGATAACGACGTCCACTAGAGCCATGCTGAGAGCATAAAAGAATGGAAAGCCAAGAATTATCGCAAGTCTGCCGCGAGAACATCGAAACGACCACTCCGGAACCAAGCGTCTGCGAAATGATATCAAGGGTTTCGTCATGGCCGTTGTTGCAACGTCCGGATGAGGTGCGGCCAGGTGCAGGCACTTGCTTGAGAAATCCGGGTCGATCAGCCAAGAGCAGAAGTGACACTGAGTCTCTCAGGTAGCCACTCCGCGTCAATTTCTTACCCGCCAGAGCACGGTGGTCCCAATCAAAGAGTGTCAGGTGTCTACCACAAATCCAACATGGATTTCCCATGATGGTGAAATTCAGGTGCCCTGGATTGCCGCCACAAGGGTAGTGACCTGGCTTCACAAACCGATTGCATAGCAAAGACAGATGGCGGTGGGTTAACAGCCTCGTCCAAGACAAATTGTCGAGTGGCTATGATTCGGGACAGGTTGTTTCAAAATTTGCTGTCGTACCACATCTCTGGACTCGCGCGCATGAGGTTCATGTTTTGGTAACTAATGCGGTCGGCCGTTCGATCTTCTGTGCAACCACTGGGCTGGAAATCCGGGTTGAGTCTAGTCTGGCCTTGCCCGTCTCCCAGAATCTTGTGTCACGTGTCGGCACGCGAGGCTCGCTCGTTCTGCTCTTTTGGTCGGCAGCACGAAACCCAAAATTGGGAACTCTCGAATTGGCATGCTCGCAGCCGTAAGCAGAACTGTTTCCACATGGCCGGCGATTCTGAGCCGGAAGGTCGCGATGATGGAAATGTATCCGAAGATAGAGAAGCTCACCTAAGCATCGGTTTCCCTGGTTGCCTCGGCCACCCCGGCATCCCTGGTGTTGCTGGAACACTCGGAGCTTGGGTCCAATTTGACGTGGTTTGCAAACCCTGAATCATGCCCGCGGGGGTCGCACAAGGGTTGACGTTGCGTCACGTGCGACCTGCCATACCGTCATCCCTACAGCATCACTATGGTTCTGCAACAGTGCGTAATTGTGTCGCATCAGCCTGTCGGGTGTTAGGGTCATTCATGATTAAAAGATATGATCCGTACCAGTAAAAACCTTGACCCAAGTGCCAAAGGCGCAGGGGTGATCGACTCTGGAGGATTGTCCAACTGCTGCTCGAGCAGTACGGTGCAGATGGCAGTGCCACCCAAATGTATGTTTTCGTACCTGTGCGGGTTAAATGTGTCGATCAATGGCAATTTTTGACCAGCACCAGGCAAGGAGAGGTTGGTTAAACGAAGTCTAGCGTCATCTCAGCCCGGATTTGATCGAACCGCATAATGTAGAAATACGGGTCATCGTGTTGTGGTCACCCCCTTGCTCAGAGTGACAGCCGGTGGATGACATTTAACAGCTCGGCGGCAAATGGGTGGGGAAGAGAGGACGAGGAGTTGTCTAAACACAAGTGGCACAGTCTGACACAAAAAATACACGGCGCACCTGACGATCAAAAGTGCTTGAAGGTGACGGAGCCGATACAGCCCAGGGTACCAAGAGAATAGAGAAGGGACAGAGCATCACTATTGCGAGAGGCATAGATAGTGTTGTTGTCCGAGGTACCTACTGTATAAAGGTCGCCTTGAATTTAACAGCAAACCACTTCCAGCGCCTACCGCCGCTTATTTTGCAAAGACAAGATCGCCTATGTCGGTGCCTAGGCCCTAGGCTGGGAGGCGTAAGGCTTGGTAGCCAGACTATCAGACAAGCCATGCGCCGCTTGACAGCGTGCCCCGAAGCCACATTCCCCAATCCTGCGCAACCTGGCAACCCCCCCTTAACCTTGTTCTGGTGAAGGCGCAACGCCAGGCGTCACACTGGCTTGCGCCAGTTCTGGCCCCCTGAAAGTGACACGGAAATAGCCACGGAAAAGAAAAGCCTGAGTCTGTCTTGTATGACCAGGTGACCTTGAGGCTGTCTCCTTTTCGGTATTGTCCACCTTTTGTGGCCAGCGCAGAGGTTTCTCTGTTTTGGAGAAATGCTCGTGTTTCATTTTTGTCCAGCTTGACGAGTCTGGGCCCTAGGCATTAGGTCAATATTCGAGACCATGCGGATGATGGGCAGTGGCCGGGACGTTGGTGGCCTGGGGTGTCAGAGGGCTTGACAACAAGCAGGCGGTTGGCTGGCATTTGATTCATTTTCGGAATAAGATGATGTCGCGGTGGGTGGCTTGATTCCGTTTCTCGAAACAGGCGAGGATTGGCAGGCAGCTCGTGGAGAGCAGAAATGAGCTAAGACGCTAGCCGAAGGACGTGGAGAAGACGGAGCAGCCGCAATGATGAATCCTGGAGGAATTGAACAGCGAGGGCGAAGCGAGGGAGGGGACACCCCGGGAATGACAAGAAACCAAAGCCATGCGTTGCAGAGGTACCTGCCGTCTGTCCCGTGGCTTGCCCGCCCCCCTGGCACTGCGACTGGTGACCAAGGCCGCTAGGCCAACGGAAAAATGGAATGGGATGGCCAAAGTGAGGGCCCCTCCCCTTCAACGCCCCCCTGACTACGACGGAGCCACTGAAACGTGCCCAAAAATCCAATGGAGCGGCGGCACACCACCGAGGGACGGCCCACAGAACCTGTTCGTTCTGTTCCTCCTGTTCGTCATAACTAAGGAGCATGCCGTACACTTCCAGCAGAAAGCCTGACAGTTCTCCCGCCCCCCCGGTCTTGCCTGAGGCTTTTGCGGTTAGCCTCATGGAATAGCGAGACGATTCCAGTCAGCAACCCACCAGCAATTTTCCCTTTAGGATGTGCCGGCGGTCGTTTTCGTAAGGAGGGTTGCCGGCGGATGTCGATGACGATCGGGGTGATGGGCTGGTGGGTGATGATCATACCGCGACGAAGTTATTGAGCGCATCACCGCGCACCACTATCACCACATGTCTTACAAAAAGAAAGACAGCGACAACCGAGAGAGTCTGGTGGGGATTCAGGCATCAGGCTCAGGTTCGCATCGTACTCGGTATTGTTTGGCGAGTCGCAGGCACAGATGGTACGGAGTAGCAATGTCAAACTCGCGCCACCCCAAGCCATTTGTCCGATGGCGAGATGGGTACCCCCAGCAGAGGTCTTGGTAGAGGAAGCCTCTTGACAAGCAGCAAGGCGGAGGTTTTTAAAGTGTCAGACGGGTCGCAACAGACCCACTACCACAACGTACTAAGCTGGGCACGCTCTACCAAGTACCTAACAGTAAGTACTGTACAAGGAGGCGTTCCTTGACCTGGGCTTGCTGGATCGCCCGACAAACCCCAATCCCGTTGCACCAAGCAAGCCGTGGCAGCCCCACCGCCTGGATTCTTCGTCTCGACGCCCAAAGAAACCCCATCCATGCCCCATCCACCACCCAGGTGATAGCGGCAATCCCTGCTCGGTGCCCATCCACCGCCCATGCCAGTTGATCCGAGCACTATCGGGTCCCCGCCCCCTGCCCATACCAATCACCTAGGGCTCCATCGCCCCTCCACTTGTCCCCCTTCCTGGTGCTGCTGGTTGCAAGCCAGCGAGAAGCTAAGAATTGTCAGAGCCCGTGCGCCGCAGTCTAGCAACTGATGGCAACCTGATGTGTCCGGCTCTGCTTCTCGCCCGCCGACAAATGATCCAGCATGAGATCTAACCCTACCTCTAGCGTGCTTTCCCGTGACTTTGCTTTCAGAATGAGAGCCCTCCTTCCTCCTCCCGTCTTCCCACCGTCATCCTCCACCAGCTTCTTCTCCCGTGTCGCCTTGCTCAGGCTATACCTTTGCTCGTCTTTTACCACCTAGGTTTGATCTTTTCCTCACGCCGCCGTCGCCAGTATCTCGTACTTTATGCCCTACCATCATCTCCTGAGGACATAACATTGTCATTGTCGCACCCTCCCTGCTATTGTTGTCACCCTAGCTTGTTTTCGCTCTTGTTCGTCCCAAGCAGGCGAGCATCTTTTTTCCCAACCCAGCTACCATTCTTCAGACGCCATTCACCGCGTCGTCGAGCACCTCTACTTTTTCTCTCACACCCCTCTTGAGCTTGATAAGAGGAGGTACATTTGGCCGCAGCCAGAACCTGTCGACGGCCCAGATCATTGCAGCAGCCGACGCAGTGAACATTTGTCCAAGAGCTCCCTCCTTCTGATCCCCCCCACCAGCTGAGGCTCTTCGCATCACATCTCCAAGGGATCAACAATGGCTCTCGTGCCCCATCCATCGCCTCCAGGCGTCATCGGCCTGCAGCCCGGCCCCCATTTTGGCCAAATCAACGGAGCCGCACCGGTTGATGCGCATATGCAGCGCCAACGCCTTCTGGCGCAGTTGAACGAATCCACCTGGCAAAGGATAGGTATGATTGTGAACTGGTCTCTTTCAGAAAATGCATGCTAATCGCGATGATGGCAGGCTCGTTGAACGAGTTACTCGGTGACCACGAGGGCGCTCTGTTCGCATATGAGCAAGCTCTGAGACACAACCAATGGTCAACTCAGACCTTGGGTGCAATCTCAGGCATTCTTCGGACAAAAGAGAAGTTCCCTGAAGCTATGGAATATCTCAAAAACATCCTGAAGGTCGAGCCTGCCAACGGCGAAGCGTGGGGTAACCTAGGTAAAGGCAGTTTTCGCATCGTCTGAGCAAGAACTCACAGAAACAGGTCATTGTTATTTGATGATGGACAATCTGCAAGAGGCCTATACTGCCTACCAGCAAGCTCTTTACTATCTCGCCAAGCCCAACGTAAGCTGTCGCACATCTTCTTTCGTTTGTCCGTATATCTGACAGCAAGTTTAGGAGCCCAAGCTGTGGTATGGCATTGGTATTCTCTATGACCGATATGGCTCCCTGGAACATGCCGAGGAGGCCTTCTCTCAAGTCATGCGGATGCAGCCCGACTTCGAGAAAGCCAACGAAATTTATTTTAGACTTGGAATCATTTACAAACAGCAACAAAAATTCGGACACAGCCTCGAAGTGAGTCGCTCGCTCGCCTGTGTGTGGCTCTACTGACGGTGTTTTAGTGCTTCAAATACATTGTCAATGATCCGCCGCGCCCGTTGAATGAGGAAGACATCTGGTTCCAGATCGGTCACGTGTATGAGCAGCAGAAAGATGCAAGTCCTCATGCTCTAGCTGTCTGCCAGCTCCTCTAACTTTTGTGTGCAGTTTGAAGCCGCAAAGTCGGCGTACAGGCGTGTTCTCGAGAGAGATCCGAAACATGCCAAAGTGCTACAGCAGCTCGGCTGGCTGCATCACCAACAGAGTAACAGTTATGCCAGCCAAGATCAGGCCATCGAGTACCTGGAACAGTCGGTCAGCTCAGGTATGTGTCACTAGAGCCTCTTTTGTAGATCTCGCCGATTGACCACCTCCAAGACAATTCAGATGCACAAAGCTGGTATCTGCTCGGCAGATGTTACATGGCACAGCAGAAATTTCCCAAGGCATATGAAGCTTACCAACAAGCCGTATACCGCGATGGACGGAATCCCACATTCTGGTGCTCCATTGGTGTGCTGTACTATCAAATCAATCAGTACCGAGATGCCCTCGATGCATACTCACGCGCCATACGGCTGAACCCATACATCTCTGAGGTGTGGTACGACCTTGGAACTTTGGTAAGTGTCACGCACGCAATTCACAACCTTGTCTTACTGACCACTGGCACAGTATGAGTCTTGCAACAACCAGACGTCTGACGCTCTCGACGCATATGCCAGAGCAGCTGAGCTTGATCCCACAAACACTCACATCAAAGCCCGTCTCGCTCTCCTGAGAAGCGGAGCGGCAACAGGTCCTAATCAGCACAATGCTCCTGTCCCGCAAGATGTTCACCCGCAAGCATATCAAAATGGCGTTGGCCCTCCTGGTCCTCAATGGGGCGGACCTTCGTCCTCAAACCAGCAACCACAACAACCTCAAGTCGATCCAGCTCGGGTTAACGACTGGGCGAGAGGCATCGCAGGCATCAACCCACCCCCGGGACAACAACAACAATCGCAGCCGCAGCCGCAGCCGCAACAACAGCCACAACAGCAGCAGCCTCTGCCGCCGCCGCAACAACAGCAACAGCAGCAACAACCGACCAACGGCTATGAAGGACGCGATACCATGAGAGCTCCGCCTCGAGGTGCTCCTAGTCCACGTCAGGATGGTCCACGTCCTTACGATTCTTCGCGTCAGACACCTGTTCGAAAATTGCAGTCCCCCTCGCCCAAGATGCAGCCGGCTAACCCGGGCATGTTCCCTCCTGGGCCCCAAACACTGCCGCAGATCTCGATGCAGGATCGCCCCACGGCCTTCGGTAGTGGAGTCCGTCCGTCTCCTACCATGAACGGAGCACCAGCGCCTCATGCCAATGGCAGTGCTTCCGGCTCAACCCTTCCACCCTATGGGCGGCCATTCAGCCCCCCTAGTGAGCTGCGGCCACTTAGAGACGAACGACCTCAGTCTCCAGGGGGAGGCTATCGCCAACAGCCATTCCAGTCTGGTCAGCCATTCCCTAGCATTGCTAATGGTGTACCGTCGGCGGCGCCACCTCTTCCCGCTGCAGAAGGACCTGCTCGTGACGATCGCCCACCCTCTTCTATGAAACGGAGCCGTGAGTGGGAGTCCGATACAGGACCTTCCAAGAAGATAGCAAATGAAGAGACTCGTGCGCGTCTGGATGACCCAGTCCGTCGGAATAGCCCACCGGGCCGCCTACCTACACCGAAAGATCATTACAGGCGGAGCTCATCCGAGATTCGTCGCGAGAATGAACGACGAGCAAATGAGAACTACCACCCCTCTGAGGCAGCACATCACCCTTACAGTCACCCTCAGCAGATCCCGTCAATGCAGTCAATCTTGGATGCCCCAAAGGAGGATCGGAAAGAACAGGTTGAGCAGGCAGCTCGCAAAGTCGATGTAGACGAGGATTATGACAACAACAGTGAGGATGATAAGCGGGCTCCACCTTCAGCAGCTCTGAGCAGCCCTCAAGTCCCGGTACCTCCTCCAACAGTAACGCCAAAGCAAGAGAATGCAGCATAGTTGGTATGACGCTAGTCAGGATCTTTTTCATTGTGATTTCTTTTTTGTGCTGGGTTTGGCTGGATTTTGTACAGCAGCAAGATTGAGCCGGGGGGTTCCACCGTTGGAAAAAATCCACAGTCGCATTGGTACTTCGTTCTGTAAAATGAGCACATGTATTTTGCTTTTTCTCAAGAGTACGAAGTAACGATATCTAGATACTAGGCAACCCTTTATCTCTGTCTTTTCAGGATTTCCCTCTCGCTGTAGGACGACTCTATTCAGGGACAATATCTGCCTCGCTCGCGAATCGGTATGATCACGTGACTGACGAAAATCTTGGCGGTTGGTGCGCACTTTTATCAAAATTATTGAATTTCTTGTATTCCACATTGACTGTGACGCTTCAGCTTGACAATCCACGACAACCTGCTCCTCGTTCAAAAAAGATGTGAGTATAGATTTGACTCGAGATATGCATCTGCTAATATCTTGTAAAGGTCTCACCGAAAGTTCGAGGCACCACGACACGGTAAAATTCCTTCCCATTCGATTACCTCCAGCTCCCATAAAAATGGCTCTCTGGGCTAATACATCCTTCTCGACAGGCTCGCTTGCTTTCCTTCCGCGAAAGCGAGCCGCAAGACACCGAGGCAAGGTCAAGAGGTAGGATACTCTGGTTCTCTAGAAGTCATGACTCGTCTTTCAATGAGTCGAAGCTGAAACATTTGGTCCAGCTTTCCCAAGGATGACCCAAAGAAACCAGTTCATCTCACCGCTGCCATGGGATACAAGGCCGGGATGACCACAATTGTCCGCGACCTTGATAGACCTGGTGCGAAGATGCACAAGAAAGAGATTGTTGAGGCTGTGACTGTGATCGAGACCCCCCCTGTAGGTCTCAAAGAAAGCTGGCACTGACGGTTACGTGGTTGAGGCTGATCTCTTGCTAGATGATCGTCGTCGGCCTCGTCGGCTACATCGAAACACCCCGCGGCCTTCGTTCCCTTACCACCGTATGGGCCGAACATCTCTCTGACGAAGTGAAGCGCCGCTTCTACAAGAACTGGTATCGATCCAAGAAGAAGGCATTCACCAAGTACGCAAAGAAACACTCCGAGAACAAAGGTGCCTCAATCACTCGGGAACTCGAGCGCGTCAAGAAATACTGCACAGTCGTCCGCGTACTTGCTCATACTCAGATCCGTCAGACACCCCTCAAGCAGAAGAAGGCGCATTTGATGGAGATTCAAATCAATGGTGGTAGTGTGGCAGAGAAAGTCGATTTCGGTCACGGGTTGTTCGAGAAGCCTGTTGAGATCAGCAGCATCTTCGAGCAAGACGAGATGATCGACTGCATCGCCGTCACCAAAGGTCATGGCTTTCAGGGTGTAACCAGCAGATGGGGCACCAAAAAGCTTCCGAGAAAGACACACAAGGGTCTGAGAAAAGTCGCTTGTATCGGTGCTTGGCATCCTTCGCACGTCCAGTGGACGGTTGCCCGTGCTGGTCAGATGGGTTACCACCATCGTACCTCAGTCAACCACAAGGTCTATCGGATTGGGAAGGGCTCTGATGAGAATAACGCGGCTACAGACTTTGACGTTGTAGAAAAGCAGATTACACCGTAAGTTCTCCCTTACATGGCTTGGTGTGTCCGAAGTCCTAACGTGTCGAACAGAATGGGCGGATTCGTCCGCTATGGGGTGGTCAAGAATGACTTCGTCCTGCTCAAGGGCTCTGTGCCAGGGGTCAAGAAGCGAGTCATGACCCTCCGCAAGTCAATGTTCCCACACACGTCCCGCAAGGCGCTGGAAAAAGTCGAGCTCAAATGGATCGACACATCCTCGGAGTTCGGTCACGGGGCGTACCAGACTCCCCAGGAGAAGAAGCAATTCTTGGGTACGCTCAAGAAGGATCTTGTCGCTGCTTCGTGAGTATGAGGAAGAGCTCGTGGGAGGCGATACTGGAGGCGCATGGTGTAGCGTCAGCAAACGGAAAATGAGTGTCTTTGTGCTCGTTTATTCGGAGAGATATGAGCAACGCAAGCATGAGATACCAACAGACCTGTCTATTCTCCTTGATTTCCAAGCGGAGTGATACATATCTAGGTAGTATGGCAAGTCTTGTTGTGGGAGTGGGAAAATTAAATCCAATTTTCGATGCGCTTGGAACGACACTCAATGCTTGCTCCCTAGCCATCGGTCTGCCTCAAAGCTCAATGTAGATAATAGAAGCATTACGCTCTTGACCCTCGTGCGTCTTGATCGCCCGAGCACGGACTTCCTTGAACCCCGGCTTGCATACTCTGTGCATCAACAAATAAATACCCTTACAGGAGGATCCCACATCCTTGCATGACTTCGGCGGCGGCGTCAACGATCGAAACGGACCGTGCGTGTCGAAAGTCTCGGTGAAACCCAAAACATTTCCCCCTTCAAATGTAGGCAGGTATAGAACTTTGTACAGAGCATTGCAAAGATCGCCGTCACCTTAGCTCACGCCCTCAATTCCGGTAAGGGCGATCGATTATTCTGCCGTGTTGAGGTCCGCACCCGGATAAGAATCCGACTTTTCTCGTAAGCAGCCATGGGGGATTTCCATCCATGCCTAGTTAGATTCAATGCTGAGTTCGGCGTCGAATGTAGGAATCGTTCAGATACTCGTATGTACCTAACCCCGGTGGTCAGTGAAGGCTGCGTCACCAGCGCCCAATGCCCTCAGCCGCCACACTGCGTACGAGGAGGTGCCGGGCAAAGAGAGATTAGTGTCGCCGTAAGCCTTACGGGGGCCGCCTGGTGAGAAAATGCGAGCGGTTGTTCCGTAGTGGTAGCAATACTGTTTGGTTCGAAGTCCGAAGCCCGATGAACATAGAACCGGGCTCTGAGGTCGAGACCAGCAGCACGAACGGGACAAACAGTCTCCGACAATGACGTCATCGTCGAATATGAAGACTGAGAGCTTTGCAAAAAATGGCATGATATCAACCTGGCACTACATCCTGTAAACGTACGAATGCCCAGATCGTGCGCATTAACATGCCTACATAGAGAAGAGATTATCGCGCAGTCTGTTCGTATCGCCTCGCAGCAACAGCAGCAGATATCAGGGACGCATTGGCGACTTCTGGGGAACCGTTCAACAACAGCGTTGCTGCCACTGTCGAGACCTAAAGCGTCAACGACTAGAAAATTCCCTGCACCTCGTCTAAATTCTATCACCATCAAGACGGCAGGGTCATCGACTCCTTCTCCGCACAACAATTCCAACACCATGTCAGACGACAGTTCCTACCTGTCCTTTCTAGAAAAGGCGAACGCAAACCCCAAGGCCGGCCAGACCGTTGCAGAATCAGAATCCACCTCTCAACCACGGTCGAAGCTGGACCCAACAACTGCCTCTTCGGATGCCTTGCCAGCCTCCTTGAAGTCGCTGCCAGACGTCACGTATACCTCCGACACAGACTCGCCATTTGAGCCTGCGCTGTTCAACTATTCCGGCTCGGAGCTCCCCTCAGCCGAGGAATTTGCAAAGTGCCTTGCGCCCAGGTCAGCGGGGCCCGTGGAGGAGCTGAGTACTCGAGACTTTGATCCGAGGGGACAATATGGCGAAGTCATCCACAGGGTGGAGCAGGCGGGAAAGGGGAAGACGAGAGTCAAGGTTTATAGAGTGGAAGTCAGCAAGACGAGAGTCGAGTATTATATCTTGACGGTCGGGGAGAGAATGCTGGTCGGCGTCGTGACCAAGGCGGTAGAGAGCTAGAAGAAAAGGAGACTGCACACGAGGGAAGCGGAGCGCATAAGATGCACGAGGGAAGTCGTGGCCGGTCAAGAAAGACAATCGCAAATGTCGTCGGTGGAGGTCGTCGGTGGAGTGTTAAGGATCCCTACTGATCCTAACTGGGTTAGGGTTCTCAGCAACAATCCTGGTATAGCATGAGCTGGTTGTGGATCACACGCGATATGAGCAAGGTTTCTCTGTTACTAAGAACTGTATAGTCCAGTAGATAACATGAGTTGGCTACGGAGAGAGTGTAACTATGTAGGGGTAACGAGGGTGTATATATAATGCCTGTGCTCTGTGCGCTCTGTGCGCTCTGTGCGCTCTGTCAACAGGGCCAACAGGGCCAACAGAGCCAACAGGGCATATCACGTGACTCAGCCTTGTTCTCCTGTGGATCCTTCCATCTGTCCAATGAGTGTGGTGAGTCGCGCCAATGCAACTCGTAACCGGGTTTCCTCAAGGCTGTGTCTAACATATACGTGGGTCCTTTTTTCGCCCAGGGGGCCAACCCCTACAAAAAGTTAGTGGTGCGTACCCTTGGGCGATTTGTCGAACCTCGTCACGCCCTTTTTTGCCTTCTTTTTTTTAATTTTAGATAGTGCATGGTGTTGTAAACTTTTCACAGTTCAGAATTACGTTGCTCTTACCACTGCTATAAATTTCTTCGCCTTGCAGTTCGCCGCAAGCGTTGCTAATCGCCTTATAGTCCCCAATATGGGCCGGGCCGCTACTACCGTAAACCGGTCTAAGTGTGGGGGATATTGTCTTGGATGCTGTTCTGTGGGGAATCAAACAGCTTCATTTCAATATTTAATACTTTAAATCTCTGCCCATTCGGTTAGTCCTCCAACCTTCCTTCGTTGGTAACAAATGTAATTCTTCTCCCAGATCCACGTATTTTATCTCCGTCTTGTTAGTTTGCTGGCACGGAGCAAGATAGGAGCCAAAATGGCAAGCAGCGGTAAAAGATATGGGGGAGAAAAGAAGTTAGCAAGGAATTTCTTCCTTACCCGCTGGCGCTTTTCGGGTCCACAGGGCACAGTTGTTTCGGCTGAGCAGGAGGTGAGGCGCTTACTTAGCCACTCGCAGAACTGAAACACAAGGGGCCAGACGGGCCGGTTACACCATACGGGGTACGAAGTACATGAGCAGCCCGGGCCTGCAATTCCAGACCGCCGCCCCCCTATATTGGCAGCCCGAGCGAATCATGCGATGATCGTCTTGCCGAATACACCTCTGGAACCCTAGGACGCGTACCTTGTATAGTAACAGGCAAGACGTAGGTAGCGTAGGGTGAGGGCCTGTGAATGAGTTGATTGCTGTGCAAGCGCGGTAAATCAGGCTCTTGGCATCAGGATTGACTTGTGAGTGCTGTCGCCAGCTACCGCTCCAAACGGCTGTCGTCTCAGTCTTTCAGAGCCGTCGTCAACTCGGCATTTAGTTCGATCCGTACGGGAAGATGATGCAGCTTTGTCAGACGCCAGGCCTCAATTCAGAGTAAAGCGCCCATGCCTCAACCTAGTGATGTTTTGCGATCTCACCCCGGGCCTCCCCAACAAGACCAGCGCTGACAACAAAGCTGCCCTTTTGTCCACACGAAAATGTTGGTCAATGTACGGCTCCAGCCTTACCGGCTTGTTGTGTTCCTGGGCGTCTTCATCTTAGTTACAATTGCTCTCTACGGTCTCTCAGGTCGCTCGTGGTTGATCTCACCCGCCGGTGCTGAATATGACAGGACGGCTGGATTATCTGGAGCTGTGAGCCACGATGGCTCGAACACAGAACTGCTCGAAGCTGACCAATTTGCCTGGCCGTTCGAGTATAGCACGGTATCGAATCAGTCATTGTTCTGCGAGGAACGCTTTGGACTCGGCTATCTCGACAACTTCAGCCAACGGTCTGCTGAATACTGTACCGCTGAATCGGCCTCGCGCATGACTTGTTTCAGTAGCATCACCGAGACCAAGACCCGACGCAAAGATGCCTTCTGCATCGCCGGTCCCGCCACCTTCGACCTCGACCAACACAAGTTCGTGCTGGACTGCAGCCTCCGTGACCACATACCCTAAGAACTGAACACCGGCTTGCATACTCTGTGCATCAACCTCCCAGGTTACTGGTACTCCACGGGTCCAAAGTACATTTTCAGCACCGCCGTGAGCTTTGCCACTATGCAGGGCGCGACCCCTTCGAGTACCATCCAGGCTTCTCCAGTGACCATCGTCCTCAAGCGGGAAGACGAGTACAAAAACATCTGGCACGCCCTGCTGGAGATCTTCGCTACCTTCATGACCTTGGACATCCTCCGCATGGCACACAATCCAGCCACGAAGGCTCCCTTTATTCAACCTTCCGACTTCTCTAACACCCAGGTGCTCCTTCTAGATCATCTCCCCGACGGCCCATACTCTGAGCTATGGCATCTCTTTGCCCAGAAGCCGATCCTCAGGCTGAGCGACATCACAAGCTCTTTCCCACTTGAGCCAGGAAACATTATAGTGCCTTTGGCGGGTGGAGGAAACCCCTTTTGGCAGGGGGACTGGAACCTGCTCGACTGTACCGACTCCCCTCTGCTGCGCGCATTCTCGCGGCGGGTGTTGAGTTATTACCAAATCCATGACCCCCCCAAACAGCCTGACGACCCGCTTGTCATCACCTACATCGATCGCACGACTAAACGGCGGCTGGTCGACCAAGCCCGCCTGCTCGATGCCTTGCGTCTCCGCCACCCCACCATTCAGCTCAACGTGGTGGACTTCGCGCAACTGCCCTTCGCCCAGCAGCTCGCCGTCGACCGGTCGACTGATATCCTTGTCGGCGTGCACGGCGCGGGGTTGACACATGGCATGTTCCTCCCGCGGGGCTCGGCCCTCGTCGAGATCCTGCCCTTCGGGCTCAAGCATAAAGGCTTCCTCAACATGGCGGCCATGCTGGGCCACGCACATTTCAGCGCCGAATCAGTCGATGACCGTACCCAAACCAGCGCCCGCGGTGACTGGCAAGCTGACGACGTATATATCCCACAGGGGGCATTTCTGGAGCTGGTTGAGCAAGCCATAAGGAAGAAGATGGAGTCGTGAAGAAATAGAGAGGAAGAAATATCGCTGACTGGAGAAACGATCCCGTTGGTTTGCGATACGGCGCGAGGCTGTCTGGCGCAAGCCAATAGGATGATCAATGTCCTTAATTTGGACTTCAATCTCGGACAGACCAAAGAGACATACTTGCCAGTCTCTAAAAAGGATCAGTCAATGATGTGCAGTCACATGAGGACTAGAACATAATTAACGCGGGTCAGAAAAGGAAGAGTTAATCTATGTCCTGTTGTTATTGCACCATGTGCTTTATTCAGAGGATTGAATCATGATAAATCAGCTTCAATCGGGTATCTTGACACAAATGATGAAAATGGGGCGACTCGTCCTGACTATTACGACATCCGACTCGCTGACTTTGATGAGAAAGCAGTGAATAGAGTATGCGAAAAGAATGAGTAAGCCGTGCCACTGAAATGGAGCGTGGAAATATGAATCTTCCGTTCAAACTTCGGTTCTTTTCACAATTCTGGCGTTGCCCCAAGCCCACGCGTGACAATCTTCGCCCTCCTCGTACCTGCGGGGCTCTCCAGCTTTTGCTCTGGGGACATCGGTGAGCATAAACACAGTCTGGATCACAAACAATCCGTATTAGCAACGCGTCACCTCGTATAGCCTCTCGCAGAACGTTCTTCTCGGCCCTCGATCATATCGGCCCCAAGGGCCGACAGGTGGCTGGGGGGAGAGGGACAATTAAGCAAGAACCAAACCACTCACCACGGCCTTGATAGGCTTCGCTATAGCTCTGGAATTAAGCCGGAGGCCTTCGATTCCGTCTCTATCTCAGCGTGAGCGTCCAGAGCACTCCCTGACCCGAGCGTGGGGTGCCTGATCTGGCTCTTTCGCATACCTAGGTATATACAAAGTGGGGACTGGCGGTGACGAATAGACCGACGACAGCTGTGATAAGTGAACATATTAAATCACCATTCAGGATCTTCCTTACAGGAAACTATAAAAGTGTGTTCCTTGTTTCATCAAGTCACTTGGACGGTAAACATCCTGTTTATCTATATACTGAGTTACCGGCATTACACCATTGTCTACCAAGACACAGCCTTGCCATCGAGACTGACCTCCGCCCACCTCCTTTCCTCCAAGGTTGCTTGTAACACCCTTCAACGCTCTCCATAGCTTGGCGCAGTCGCGAGATCTATTCCAGCCACACAGAACATCTCAAATCTGCCGAACCTTCCAAAGTCTTGCTAACCTTTCGATGTCCAATGTGCTTGCGGTCTTAACATCCCAGCCGGTTCCAGTTGTTTTCGCTTCTAGGTAGATGACCTTGTTAAAGACGGAATTCGGGTCTCTTCGGGCTACCAGTGTTTGGGCTTCAACCGTCTCGCTACTCCTCACCCCTACACTTCCGAGCATTGCGCTTCCAATGTAGACGGATATTTTCTTCGAGGTGAACATATCCTGCTGTATCAGGTAGGCCAGGTATCCATTTGGGTTGAGAACAGTGATCCTATTGTCGCTCTTGTTGTATGAAACCCTCTCCGGCTCGTATGCTGCTGCGTTGCCACTCAATTTCTTCGGCAGCGTTGGGCCATTTGGCTTGCGCATGTAAAAGTATATAGAAGAATCTCTTCTTGGTCCGTCTTTCGCTAGATTCGGGGACCACGAGATCGGGACGAGAAATCAGATCCCACACGACCACTGACAGAATGGGATTGCACGCCGCTTGTTTATTCAGCTACAGCATCGGGTTGATATTGGTCGTCTAATAGGCATCTGGTCCAAGGCTGGGAACGGTAAGCGGACTTTTCTCGAATGCATCATATGCGTCCTTGAACTTCGTAACATATCTTGATTCGTGTCAATGGTAGTTGGCTCCGACCACTCGTTTTGTTTTGCATCACCCCTTTCCTGGGAGGGATCTGAATAATGAGAGTAGTTCTTAAATTTGACCATGAAACAATCGTACTTGTAGAGGTCGTTGAACCCAGCTTCTCCACATGTTCGCGTACAGGTCGCGGTGTGTTGAACATCACGGACAAATGTGCTTGAGCTCGCATCCAGCGGTCTGGCGTGTGAGGATAGCGAGGAAAGTGGCCTCTTTCGATGACTCGAAGGCATAGTTGGAGTGTTGCAACAATATCAACTCGAGTCATTTGGAGGACCAGCAGCTGCGACGACAGTAGCAAAATGGTCTGATAACTCGTTGAAAATTGGATGCGTGTCACGAACCCACCGTTGTCCCCAAGTACTCTACGCCCTCCACCCGAATCGGGTGGACGGTATAGAAAGAAAAGGAAAGGATAAGGCAAAGGACGGTTGAGGCACAAGGCTATCGGTTAACGCTGCCTTACCCTTTTCACGTGACAGAAAGAGGGGAAGCTATAAGAGTCTCCTCTCACCTGAATCGGCTGAGAGAGAACT